CCCCCCCCCCGTGTGTGGATGTGACAGTGCTTCACGTGGTCAGTTCTCATCTTCTCCTGCACTGGGTGGGCCGCGCCTTACCGTTCTCTGGTCTCCAGTGCCTCTGACAGGCCTAGAGCTGTGAGATCATTGGGTTCAGGAATGACTGAATGAAAGGACAAGTACTACCTTTTATATGTTTTTAAAAGCTTCCTTCACCCCGCTGAGAGGTTTCATTCCATGGAAGCTGTATTTCCCCCAAAATAAACCTGAAGTGGATCAAAAGACTTAAAAAAAAAATTCTACTCTTCCCACAAGTAAAAAAAAGTTCCTTTGTTGCTTAAAATATCTGCGCCAGATCGTACGATGCCGTCTCTAGCACGAGTGCCTGTTATTGTGGCTAATTTGGTCACATGTGTTTGAAGGAGAACAATGCCTCTGAAATTTTTAAAAGCAAAACAGCAATCTGCAGCGTTTGTTGTAATGAGATGTAAATTGCCAACATTTGGGAGGAGAGCCGACTAAAATTTGCAATGAAGTGTCCCCCCTGCCTTAAATGAAAAGCACTGAGGCCCTCCCTTCTCTCCCCAAAGAAACCCCTTTTTTTGTTCCTTTTCTTTCTGATTCTATAATTCTAGACACTCGTTTTCCCGATTGATTCATTCCTTCATTTATCTGCCCCTTCTGAGCCTCCGTTCCATGCCTGCCCTGGTGCTGGGCTCCCAGAGGCGTAGTCAGCCTGCAGGGTGGCCAGCGGTGAGCCCCATGTGGCAGGTAGGAAAGTGAGGCACGAGAAGTTGAGGTGTCTTGTCTAAGGTCATGTGGCTGGGATCACACCCAAGTCTCTGGACAAAACCCTTCCAAGATGTGCCCTTGCTGTTCTGCCCTCCTTGCTGGGCTGAGGCACCAGGTACCTTCTATGCACAACGCCAGAGAAAGGCAGGTGCGGAGAGCGGGGCTAACAACTAGCAGCCCCTGGGTGTGCAACATTGCTGACCGTGAATGTTAGGAATCAGTTTCCTTAAGAGCCAGAAGATCCCAGGGCCTCCTGGGGAGACCAGTGTGAGTGGGGGAACGAGGGTGTGTGGACCGGGCAAGGGCCTGCTCTGAGCTGGGCCTGCGCAGGCCACTTGGGGCTATAGAAGGCCAGCAGGGCCCTGGCTTACAGCAGCTGCGGTCCAGCGCTGGACCAGTGGAGCCCCGAGTGTAACACGTGTGCGTGGGAGGGGGGAGGGTGAGTCGCTCTTTACTGAGCATCCACTCTGTGCCTGATGCCGATCTAGGCCTTTCATATTTTGGTTACGTCATTTAATCTGCCATCTGGCCAAGTTGCTGTTGTCATTCCTCCTCTCAGGTGAGGCAGCAGGGTCAGAGAGGTTAGGCCAGTGGTCGGCAAACTGCGGCTCGTGAAGAGCCACACTCAAGGGGCCAAAGAGCCGCATGTGGCTCATGAGCCGCAGTTTGCTGACCACTGGGTTAGGAGATTATCGATGTGTAAAATACCTGCTGAGGGTAGAATTTGAACCAGGTGCTGTGCTGACCCTGGACTCTGACATAAAGACAGCTCACAGCTCACCTAAACAGAAGTGGCAAATCCAGAACTTATGCTCCAGTCTCTCCGACCCCAAATTCCAAGCTGAGGGGTGGAGAGACTGACTTACCTCCCTCTGAAGGCAGGGGCAGCCTCATGGGAGAGGTGGCATTGCAGTCCGGCCTTGAGTCCCTGGTGGAGCTTGGAGAGGTGGACTTTCCTGGGGGTAGAATGACCCAGACAGGGATGTACAAGCAGAGACTGCGAGCAGGAAGGAAGGTGCATGTGTGGGAGGGTGGGCCAGCCCACTGGGAATGGAGCCTGACTGTGCACCTCTGATGTCCCCTACCTGTCCCTACATTGCCATCTGAATTGTCCCTTCTCCTGGCTAGATGGTTCCAATTTCTGTTGAACAACCCTGGTTTCTACTTCCTGAAAAGGCCTATAGATGTTTCAAATGCAGAAAAGATTTCAGACATTTGAGGATAGCTTCCCATCCGCCCCTGCCTCCACCCCACAGTGGCTCACCTCAGCTGCAGGCTTTATTTCAGAATCTTTGCTCCAGCCCATTTAATGAAGTCCCTTCCTCCCCGCTACTCGTTCCCCTCTCTCATGTCACGAGTTTACAGAGAGCCTGCAATGTGCTGGACACTGTCCTCGGTGCCACGATTGCAAACAAATATTTGCTGTTGAGGAGCTTCACAGGCTGATGTGGACAGCGGTTGGCTGCAGACAAAATTTGCTGGAAGCATTTGTAATGTAGAAACCTCCTACCTGGTAGCGATCAGAGCAAGGCCTCACAAAGGAGACACCTACGCTTCACTCTGAAGTCGGACCAGGGGCCTGGCAGGCAGAGGAGGTGGCCTTCAAACCCAGAGGACAGAGGCCTGGACAGCACTACATATGAGGGACCTGGCAGAGGTATGGGGAAGAGCAAGACATGAGCACCTGAGGTGGAGAGGAGGCTGGTTCTGGGATTTAAGGAGGGTTTAGGGTGTAACTTCATTTGGAAGGTAATGGGGAGCCTGAGCAAGGGGGGACGTAGTCCTGTGGAGATCTCTTTGGCAGCCATTGGGGGATGGATGGAGACAACCAGACAGAGTCTGAACTGAACTGGATGCATTCTTCTGTCCCACACCTTCCTCTCATCGAAGGAGAAGGAAACTTAGAGAAAGGATGCAGTCTTACCAGATGACCATGACGTTGGCCACATGGACCTCCTCTCGGCCCATGTCCACTGCCTGTCACTGAATGTCAGAGCTGGAGGACACCTCCAGTGCCCAGTCAGCCATGCCATTTAGGGGAAACAGAAATACTTCTTCCTGCTCTAAGGAAGATCAGACACTTCACTGAAGTTTGTGTGCGTCTCCAAAATTTGCCCTGAGATCTCACGCAGAGGAAAAGCTTTGGCTTCTGTTTCTAAAACTTTGGAACTGTTTGTTCATTGTTGTCATTCTTTTATTCATCTAACTAACATTCAGAGAGCACCTACTCGGTGCCAGGTGCTGGGGACAGAGGGAAGAGTCCAACCGAGGCTCAGCCCTTGAGTAGGTAGCACACTATTGGGAGATGATGTCAGAACAATTAGATGCTGTCAGTCCTCCACTCTGCCAGCTTCTGAAGCTGCCAGCCACTCACCAGGGTTGCACAATCCAAGCATCACAGAGCAAGGAGTGGGCTCTGCACTATCTCTACAGGATGAGCCAAGCCTTTCTGCTCCCAGACATCTTGCATTCAGCTTAAATCATGGAAACTGCAGAGACTCGCTCATGCAGATGGCAGCTGCCAGCAACTCAAGAATGATATTCTTGTTGTGGGAAGGCCTGTCATGAGGAATTTTCATAATAAAATTACCAACACCGTCCCTACCACCAGAGAAAGTCTAGAATGTGGCAATTGAACGTAGAATCAACCAGATTGGTGGTCAGGCCTTTAGTATGTAAAGAGCCCTGTACCGGGTTGTCCACATGGTTAGGGTCAGCGAAGTTTAGACCATGAAATTCATCTGTTACTGCAGGTATATGCATAGTCAGGGGGACCTGCTGGGGCAACAGCTAAATCTGATCCCAGTCAACTCCTGAAATGTCTGTCTAGGGCAGTGGTTCTCAACCTTCTGGTCCTTTAAATACAGTTCCTCATGTTGTGACCCAACCATAAAATTATTTTCGTTGCTACTTCATAACTGTAATGTTGCCACTGTTATGAATCGTAATGTAAATATCTGATATGCAGGATGGTCTTAGGCGACCCCTGTGAAAGGGTCGTTCGACCACCAAAAGATTCGCGACCCACAGGTTGAGAACCACTGGTCTAGGGTGAATTTCCAGGTTGCTCAACTCTCCATTGGCCCTCGGAGCTGCTCTCCTGCAAGTTAACCAAATCATTCAGCTGTATTTACTCACTTTCATCCTGTTTCTCTGCCCTTTGGTAATCAAGACACAATAGGTGATTTAAAAAGCAGTCTATCATTTTTGCAAGCTAATGGAGAAAAGCGTATCCCCCATAGAAACCACCACCATTTATCTAGCTTTCTTGCCCTGTTAATCTGCACATAATTTGTGTTGATTGCATTTAAATAAAAATCAGGGTAGCTGCTGGATCAGGCAATCAGGGTCCTAATCTGTATTGTGTTTTAATTTCTTGGTTGAAATGCTCCTGTTTAGATACTAGGTCTTGGGGAGGGGAAGGCCTTTGCATTTCTGCTTTTCCCTTCACCTCGGTTCATCTGCTGTGGTCCGTTCCACTGTAGGCTGGAGAGATGGGGGTGTGGGCAAATGCACAACCTTCATATTGCAGTAGATGCAGCCTTCTCCACCCAGTCTTAACAGGACCTCTTTCCTGTGCAGGAAACGGAGTCCCCTGCATGTCCATTAGACAGAGACACCAGCAGGAGTGCTTCTCATTCATACTTAGAGTCTAGTCCATTCTTGAATTCCAGTTTTCCAACTTTTTGCTTGTGACATTCATACCTCATATTAGTTTCAAGCCTGGGTTTAAGTGTAGTCCAATGGACAAAAATAATCCAGTATATATATAGGTATATTTTGTGCCACTATGTACTGATAGATGCATAGTTAAAAATATTTGCATTTTATTTTCCTTGGAGTTCTAGACAGATCTCTTTTCTTAACTGCCTAGGTCCCGCCATTGACTTGGAAAAAGTAAAGTCAGAATGTCTCGAGCCCGAGCCGGAGTTACGGAGCACTTTCAGTGAGGAAGCAAATACGTCGTCCTATTACCCCGCTCCTGCACCTGTCATGGACAAGTATATCCTAGACAATGGCAAGGTAGTGTGCCAAGCTCAATACCGCTTCCCTGCGAGTGTCTCAGTCAGAGTGAAGGTGGAGCGGGTGCGGGGCTTCCCGAGTGAGCGCGGGCCGGGTGGCCTCCCGGCCTGTCCCTAAGGGACGCTTTCCGGAATCAGTGTGTTATCACAAGTGGACCTTTACTGGGACTTTTTTCTTTTTCTCATCATTTGGTTTGGTTTGGTTTGTTGTTGTTTTGTAAATATTGAGCCAAAACTAAACTGACATTTTAAAATCGCTTATTAGTGGGAAAGATTTTTTAAATGATAGTTTGAAAACTGCCCTCCCCTCCCATGAAAGCAGATGCATACATTTCTAAGGTGAACGAGAAGGGAACTGAGTGACAGATCATGAGTCCATATGTATCCATTGACCTGGGTGCCAGGGACACAAGAGGTGACTGAGACTTGATTCTCATCCCTGCGCCGCTTTCAAGCTGAACACTGAGTGGTGGTCAGCCCACAAATGACTCCTCAGCTTGTCTTTTAGACCCTTGTGGGGAGCGGGGGGGCGGGGCGGGATCATGAAAGAAAACCTCAACGCTGTTAGTAATTAAAAGCAATGGAATAGCCTCTGGAAGTCCTTCAGTCAGTCACAGGGAGATAGGGCAGCAGGGCAGGAAGAAAACTGGTCTAACAGCCAAGTGAACTCACCTTGAAAGAGGTACAGTGGAGCCCCTTATCCAGGCTCCGGTCAAATTCCTCCGTCCTAGTGCTGTGTTCTCTGCCACCATCGGGTGTATTGCAGACATCCCCTCCCTTCTCCCCAGAGAAGCATCAGTGTCCTTGCGTTTTCCTTGCCTCGGGCTACAAAGGTCTCTGTTTACCCAGTTCTGTTCCCGGGGGGGCTGATGAGAAAGAAAAGGTTGCATTTGGGTTTGTCCAGATTTATCCCCGCATCTGGCCAGACGGAGCCAAGGCAAATATAGTCAAGCTGAGGAAAGAAAGCTGCGGTCTTTAGAGCTCTCTCGGATGTGGTGCCAGCCCACCAGGCGCTTCCTCCCCACAGAGGCAGAGTTGATGGGCGAGGCCATCCGCCCATTCTGCATCTCCTTGTTTCAGCCAACAGGAGGGACAAGGTGGCAGCGGAAAGCCCGGAGCCTGACTTTTAAGCCTAGCTCTCTCTGTCCTACTGTGTGACCCAGGCCGGTCCTGCCCCGTCTCAGCCTCAGCTTCCATGTCTGGGAAGGTGGATGTGGTCCATGCTCCCTAGGACTTTGGTGACTCAGACAGTATATCTAAGCTTGGTGAGCCTGTCCCAATTGAAGATAAAGGAAAGAAAGGACTGGTCTTTCTTTCCTGACTTCCTTTTCGTCATGATCACATTGTGGAATGACTAGGGACTTTTTCTTAAAGTAGCTTCCAAGAGAGATCCTGTGTGTCTTGCTTTGAAAACTGATGGGCAGTTTCTGAGGATGACAGGGGCTTCTTTTGCAAAGTTATCACTTTTCCTCCAAAAAATGGGTCTCTGAAATCCCACTTAATTTTTTTCACACATGGCTTGCACAACATTTCTTGAAAATGCCGACTTTGTTTTTTCTTTGGTTGGCGCCAACGTGCTACTAACCTGGCTTTTGTTTGCAACTAGTCTGTGGTCAGGCGGAGAAATGGATGAAGGGAGAGAAAGAAGCGACATACTGGAAGTGGGTGGTAGTTCCCCAGAGCAGCACCCACATCCCAGAAGTAGCCCTCATTGTTCTTGGCTGGGCTGTCTTTCTGACCCCTCCTCCTCTCCCCTGCTGATCAAAGGCCTTCATCTCTGCAAAGCCTAGAGCAGGGGTCCTCAAACTACGGCCCCCCGGGCCACATGCAAATACAAATATTGTATTTGTTCCCGTTTTGTTTTTTTACTTCAAAATAAGATATGTGCAGTGTGCATAAGAATTTGTTCATAGTTTTTTTTTTAAACTATAGTCCGGCCCTCCAGCGGTCTGAGGGACAGTGAACTGGCCTCCTGTTTAAAAAGTTTGAGGACCCCTGGCCTAGAGCGTTAAAATGGGATCTGTTTCCTAGTAGGAAACTACTGTTATCCTACAAAACAGTCCACAAAGACATTTTTTATCAAGTTCCATCCTACCAGATGTCATGTTTTTAACAGCCTCCCTTGACCAATAGCGAACTGGGGTTTATGTGAATGGTGCTTGCCACAAAAGTTACTGATTTTAATAAAGTGCATTGCTTTTCTTTGTCTAAATATTTTATTTCTAAAACTCATCAAATCATAAAGCCACAAAGACCATTCACATTTAAACAGTCTGAAGTATACATGATACTCACGGGGAAATACACCAGGAGACCCGTCTACAATAGTGCAACAGGTTAGAGGCAAGAAGCCACGTCTCCTGGTTCCAGGCCAGTGTTCCTTCCAGTCTATTCTGCTGCATCCCTGAAAGTGGGGCATTGCTCTAGGTGACCCTGAGCTTCGCTGCCCTCGGAGCCCTTGTTCCAGATGCCCAGCAGATACCTGTGATGGTCTTACTTACATTTCTTTCTGAGCTATGAAGTTGGCCTTGCATGAGTGAATGTCACAGAAAAGATTTTCTTCTCCAAAGCACAGCAACTCATCAGAACTGAAAGCCAATACCCTGAAAACATCTTAAACATGCCATCATTTTCTTACTTTGTGTTTGGACTAGTCCTGATCACTTCGCAGGGGACGGAGATGCAGAGCCTCGACCCCTCCCCAGATATGCGCTGTGAAGGCTGATTCAGGAGGCGAGGGCTCTCGCTAGGCTAGAAATCCAGAGGGAGTAGAACCTAGCTCTGGGGTAGAACTTAGCCCCAGAGTAGTTAGAAGTGTTTTCTGTATTTGGACTGGGGCTTGAAACATTAGCAAGTTTAAGAAGACAATCCCTTCATTCATTCCTGGACAGGGGAAAGGCGTGAGTAGAGACATGGGTGGGGAAAGAAGGCGAAGGAAGGAAGTTACTGGTTGTGTGCTGTCCTGAAGGCTTTTTTAACTTATGTTTTCACATTTAATTCTCAAAACACCCTGCGGACTAGGTGGGGGTCAAGTGATTTGCCCAGGATACTCAGCTGTTAGGTAGAAGAGCTGGCCAGGATCCACACCTGCGACAGAGGCTCCAGACCCATGCTCTCGGGGTGCACAATGGAAGCAGGAGGAAAGGAAGTGCTCCGGAGATTCCTAGAGTTATGGCCAGAGCAGGGAAACGCTAGGATACAGGGTCCTCGAGGCCTTCGAAGCCGGCAGAGGAGGTCAGATTTGATGGGACAACGAACAGAGAGCCATCCGAGACTCCAGGAGGCTGACGTGAACCATGTCTTCCACAGACTTTGAGAGAGACTGCGGAATTTATCTGGTCTAAGGAAAGCTGTGTTTTAGAGAAGTCAGTCTGGCAGGTTACAGGTTGGGTTGAGGCAGCAGGGACTGGAGGTCGGCAGGCCAGCCTGGGGTTTTGCCCAGGTTCCCTGTGTGCAGCGGGGCTGCCAGGGACGGACCGGCAGGTGCAGAGGAAGGATGACTAAGTGAATGTTGATGGACCTGCTGTTTCCACCAGGACACTGGCTGCAGCAGGAAGGTGGCTTCGGGGTCATACTGATTTGGGTTTGAATCTTTATTCTAAATTTTATTGATGATATGTCTTAGGAAAAGCGATTTAGTTCCCTGAGTCTCTCTTCATGTCTGTGAAATGGGAATAATTTCTACCTGTTCTCATCCCTTAAGGTCAGTATGAGGATAAATAAATTGAAGGTACAATGCCTGGTTCATTATAGGTGCCCAAAAATATCTGTGCCCCCTTCTGTTGTAGAACTTTGGCTAAAATGACTGTCATCTCTCTTTTAACAATAAGCAAGGCCCGGGATAGAAAAGAACAGAGACCTCTGAAAACTGAAGTTATCTTCCATCTCTGTGGTTTTCCAATTCTGAATTTGTTCAGATTCCTTGTTTTTCCTCGATCTCTGGGAGCTTGCGTGGTTAGCTCTGGAGCGTCATGGGGGAGGTGACTGGGGCCAGCAGGGAGCAACAGGGCACGTGACCCCAGTATGCCTGCCCTGGCACAGACTGCCTGCCCGCAGTGCAGACTGCAGAGAACAGTTCAGACTTGACCTTGGGCTAGTGTTGCCCGGCCAGCCCCAGGCAGCACACGCACTCCAGGCTCGCTTACCTCCTTGAGCCCTGTGAACAGATGGGCGACACTGAAGTTTGCGGCCCAGGGAGGCAGGTGGATCTGGTTATCCGATGTCATGCCTGCAGAGGCCTGGAGGATCTTTCTGAGCAAAAGGAAGTGACATCAGATGTGGCAGGTGGATTGTTTGCTTACTGACAGCCATGGGTGCGCTGTGTAGCTTTTTTTTCCAGTGGTGCTAAAACCTCGGTAATTGGTGGAGGAGGAGTGCTGCTGGCTGACCCGTCGGCCACTGTGCAGTGCTCACCTTCCTTTCCCAGCCAAGCCTCAGCAGAAAGACCTTTAATCATCTTTGACCAGTCGGGGTGTGTGCCGTCTGTCAGACCAGGACTTCTCCCGAGACATCTCCTGACCATGCCCTTGGTGATGACCTGCAAGTCTTCCCGGAGACAGGGACTTTTGGCAGAGCCTTTTCATCCCCCTTAGGAAGTTTGGCTTATTAGCGGCTGTCTCCCTCCCTCCCCACAGCGGCCTCTTCACCCTCCACAGACTCAGCAGAAACATGACATAAATGGCCACATCAGAGTCAAACTCTGTGTTTTGATGGTTAATGTTAACAAATGTTTTTTGAGTTGTTAAAAGAGCCAGGAAGGAGAAAAAGTTTCCAAGCTTGCCGCTCACTGGCTGTGCTGAAACTCTGCGAGCGCTCCTATACAGGGAGCGTGCAATTGCGTTCTGTGCTCTGTGCCATCAGAATCGAACTCTGGGGTTGTATCTAACATAAAATCCTAGGTGTTCCGAGCCAGAGGAGCGCAAAGATGAAGCCAGCTCTAGCTGGTTTGGCTCAGTAGATAGAAGGGGCCCAGGTTCAATTCCGGTCAAGGGCACATGCCCAAGTTGCAGGCTCGATCCCCAGGAAGCAGCCAGTCAATGATTCTCTCTCATCATTGATGTTTCTCTCTCTCCCTGTCCCTTTCTCTCTGAAATCATTAAAATTTTTAAAAATATATTAAAAAGAAAAGATGAATCCAACTTTTCTAGTTCGAGTTCAGGGAAACTGGAACCAGAGACAGGGAAGGACCTGCACAGACACACTGTCTGTGCAGTGGCAGAGCCTGGGTGCTGCCCCCACCCCGCTGAACACTGGGGTCACCTGGGGAGCCTTCAGCCATCCCAGTACCTGGGCCCTCCCAGACGAGATAACTCAGAATCTCTGAACGTGGCGCCTCGGCACCAGCCTTTTTTATAGCTCACCAGGCAAACCCGTGTGTGACCATGTAGAGAGCCTCTGTGCTAGGAGGATGTGCGTCCCAGGGTGTTTACCTTCGAAGGAGAGAGGTCTCCCTAAAGTGTCGCAGAGAAAGGACTTGCCCAGGTGTGGGCCTGAAGCCTGGTCAGGCTCTGAGCGGCCTGCGCTAACGTGACCTGGTTGAGAACTCCAGGTCTGCACCTGCCTCATTGAGACTTTGGGCCCATTGCTTCCCCTTCCTTAACCTGGTTTTCCATCTGCAGTGAAAACAGTGGCCCAGCACTTCCCCCAGGGGTGCCAAGAAGAAATTGAGATAGTGGGTGTGACGTGCAGGAGTAAGGCCTGGTATGCAGGAAGTGAGGACCACATTTCCCTTAAAGAAAGCTAATGTAGCATTTACGGAACGGACCCCTTCGCGTTGTGCGGGAATGTGTTTTAAAGGACGAGGAAGCTTCCCGCTGCCATGCTACCCGCCTGAGCAGGTGCTGCGTTCCTGTCCCTTCCAGGTCCATCTGGGAAGCGGGATCTGGGTTGACGAGGAGAAATGGCACCAGCTACAAGTAACCCAGGGAGACTCCAAGTACACGAAGAACTTGGCAGTCATGATTTGGGGAACAGATGTTCTGAAGAACAGAAGCGTCACAGGAGTTGCCACAAAAAAAAAGAAAGATGCCGTCCCTAAGCCGCCCCTCTCGCCTCACAAACTAAGCATCGTCCGAGGTAGGTCACTGCAGAGAAACGCTGGGGCGGGGGGTGGGGTGGGGGGGCACTGTCCTGTCCTCTGCTACGGTGGACCAAGCTCGGCTCAGCTCACACACACCAGGGCTGCCGTGCCAGGCCCAGGCTGGGCTCCGGGACCCAGGAGCGGACGTGCACCTAGTCCCAGAAGAGCTCCCATCACCAGCAAATGAGCCCATGGACACAGTGCAGTGCATGGGCAGGCATGGGAGAGGGGCAGGCCATTTGTCAGGAAGCTCATTCTTGTGGGGAATGAGGCACGGCTGGAAGTCAGGGAAGGATTTCTAGGGAAGGGTCACTGCATTGGTCCCTGAAGGGTCCATCAGACATGAAGATGCAAATGTGTAAAGAGAGATACTTCTGGAAGCAGAAGCATCTGGAACAAAGGCAGGGAGATGGCAAGGGAGTGCTGCTGTGTGCAGAGCAGAGGTCAAGGCTGGGGGCACAGTCTGTGGAGCCCTGGATTTTGCCCAGAGCAGTTAATGACGTGCAGACCCATGAGGGGCACTGGTTCCAGCTTCTTTCTGGTGTTTGGGGAGGGTTAGGGGCCAGCAAAGAGACAGGGTGTCACTGGTCTCCCTAAAAATATAGCTATATCCTGGACACTCTGATTTTTCTCTCCCTCCCCCCATCTTCCTTCTCTCCTCGCCTCTCCTGCCCTCTCTCCATCTGGTCACTAAGCTCTTATTCCCAGCCAGGCCCTCTACTGGGCACTGAGGACACAAAGAGGGATAAGCACAGTCTCATCTGTAAGGACTCAGTCTCTCAGGAAGATGAACACAAGAACGGCCAGTTACTGCACAGACAACACAACTGACAGAGGCCAGCGAGTCTCAGCGGAAAGTGCAGGCAGCAGAACACCATAGTGGTTGCTGATTATCTGAGCACCTACTGTTTCAGGTTCTGGGGTTTTTCTTAACAGTTGCATTTTTTAAAATACTTTTACATGCACTCACATCTAATCCTCCTCATACTCCTACTGTTGGCTACTCTCATTAGCCCTGTTTCACAGCTGAGGACACTGAGACACAGCTGCCAAATAACTTGCCCAGATCATAGAGCTGGTCGGGTGGAGCCAGTGGTCCAGGCGGGAGGCTGCCTTAGAAGCTGCATTTCCAACCCCTGGTCTCTGTGTGCCCGGCTCTGAGTTTGTTGAAGAAAGTAGCACCCAGTCAACCCCCAGGTACACATTGAGCAGGCCCCGTGGCAGGTGGGGGCAGCTGGCAGATGTGTCTGTGAACAGGTCAGGTAATTTCAGGTGCTGATGAGGCTGTGAGGTGTCGCAGATGATGTGGTGGGAAGGAGAGGGCTGTGCAGCTGGTGGCGGGAGGCCTGTTTAAGGAGAGAATGTGAGCTGGAAACAGGATGTGCAGGGGGCAGCCCGGCGAAGGTCTGAGGGGTGCTGAACAGGCAGAATAAAGAGCAGGCAGAAGGGCTGGCACGCTGAAGGGGTGAAGAAGCCCCAGTGGCCATGGAGTGAGGGGAGAGGGAGGTCAGGGAGGTGGGCCAAAGCCAGTCTTGAGGCCATGAAGGCCACGGTGAGCGGGCTGGATTTATCCACTTACAGGAGAAAGGCAGTGAGGTCCTCACATGGTGGAGTAACCAGTGGGACATGGGTTAGGAGGCTGGTGCAGTGGTCTCAGGAGAGGTGATGGTAGCATGGAGTAAGGTTGGCATTGAAGGGAGAAGAATGGCCAGATTTGGGTATATTTTGGAGGTCAGGAGGCAGGACACAGACATGGGTGACCAGCCTGAGGTCACAGCTATAAGGTTTCAGCGCCTGGATCTAACCCACTCCTCAAGACCCTGGCCTGGGGCTTGCACTGTATAGCACGCTGCCCGCCTTGCCTGGCTAAGTCATGATTAATTGATTTTGGCAGCCACTTATATTTAGACAATCAGAGGTAACCTTTAGTCAGCCCGCTGTCTGCAATGGTGGAGCTTAATTTGGGAGGTCACCCTAAGATAGAGGCCTTCCTGGGGAGGCAGCCCTGGCCCACGTGATAGGTGGCACACCTCTATTTCCCTTATTCATGTTGTAATGTGACTCAGCAGGTCCCAGGTGCCTTCAGATGACTGGCTGCCCCACTATCGCCACAGGGGTATGAAGTCGCCTGCTGTGTGTCTGCCTCAGGCAGTAGTCTGACCACACCTGCTTCATCTCCAGGTCCTCATGCCTAGCTCAGGGCCTGCACACAGTAGGAGCACAGGGAAGGAGGGCTGACCAAGTGGAACCTTGAGACCTGACTGACCCTTGGTGTGATTGCTTGTGAACCACTTTCCCCCCAGGTCTCAGTTTCCGCCACTGAAAACCTGCCTCTTAGGGCAGCTCAGAGGACTATCTAGGATTAAGTTTGGAAATAGTTATGTTTGAGGTGTGAGAAGTTATCAACCTTTGCTGACCAGTGAGCTGCCTCTGTGTTGAAGTTCACGGTTGTTCGGCGCTTTTCAGCTGAGAGGCCCTCCCCGTTGGCTCCCTGTGCAGTGTGATGGGAATGGGAATTGGGGGCAGGGGTCAGAAGCCTGGTGTTGAGCCCCAGCTCTGCTTTGGCTTAGCTTGGAGCTTACCCTGGTTCGTAGCATTTGCTTTTGCTTCCCCAAGCCTAGTGCAGCGTCGGTACCAGGTAGAGGCGTGGTGTCTGCATCTGTACAGCCAGGATCACATCCTTATCCCGCCTCCCCGGTGGGCCAGATGACGTCTTCACTGTGCTTTAACCCCATTCAGAGGATGTGCTGTGCCACACCTGCAGGCTCACCTGGAGCCCCCATTCTCCTGCCTCTTGTCCATGTCCTGAAAGAGGAGTTTCCTTCTCGTACTTGGGGCTGGGCATTCTTTTCATCTGTACCCTAGCCCACCTGCCTTCCTGAGCACCCGTTCCTCCAATTATATTTCTGTTCTATGGTTCCTTTCCAGCATGATTTAAATATACTTTAATCACTCATTCACAAAACAAACAAAACGCTCCCCAGAGGCCACTGCCATCACCCAGCTGCCGCCACATCTCTCTTCCTTTTCACATGCAGGTTTCTTGCAAGAGTTACCCACACTCACTCCCTGTGTTCACTTGCAACTCCCCTGCCATGGGCCTCCACACCCAGCCCTCTGCTTAATCTGTCCCTGCCAGCTCTCCCAGTGACTTCTGCTAACTAAGCCAGGGCACATCTTTTACCTCCTCCCAGCACTGCGGGACCTGACCACGCCCCCTTTACTGAGAAACCAGACCTGCCTAGTCAGGTTCCCTCCTGCCTGTCTGCTTCTCATCCACCAGTGGGCTCCTCCTCTGCTGCCCTCTCCTCTGTCTCCAATCCTCTTCTCACTCTGTCCACAAAGCTTCCCTCAGCCCAGCTCACGGCCCATTGTTCCCACTGCCCTCAGTGTGCCCATGGTCCTGGGGTGAAACCCCAGGCTCCTCATTCTGGCCAATGCCTGCCGACCCCTCCAACCTCATCTCTCACCACTTCCCATTTCTTCCTGTGCACTAGCCACAGAGGCCTTCTTCCATTGCCTTCCTGATCCCACTGCCAGCAGTGCCCTTCTCCCATCTGCTTGTCCTGCCTCCTCATTGTCCTTCAGGGAACCCTGCCCCAGCTGCCCAGTCCAGTACAGCTTTTCCTTGCTGTCATATCACCCTAAAATGTCTGCATAGCATTTCCTACTTGATTATTTACTTGAAATTGTCCTTCTCCCCCACACCCATTAAAACATAAGCTTTATGGCAGATTATTGAGGGCTAGCATCTATTAAGTGCTCAATAACCATTTATTGAGTCAATGAAAGATGACTCCTAAATCTGTATTTGACCTCAGTCCATACTTCTGAGTTCCTGACTCACCCATCCAGGTGCCACTGGCCATCTCCTCATGGGTGTCCCATGGCCTTGGCAAAGTTGCCCACTCACAGCTCTGACCTCTGGCTTTCCCCACAGCCTCTGCCCTCTGTGTGCCCCATCTTGATGAATGGCAACACCAGCCAGGGACCCTGAGATGCCTCATCCTTGATCCCTCCACATGCCTCACTCCCCTTCTGTTCTGCCCCCAGTACCTCTTACAATGTCCTCTCCATCCCCCTGCCCCCTCATAGTCCAGGCCACACCACTTCTCCCTGTACTGCTCCAGCAGCTTCCAGACCCTTCTCTCCATTGTGTAACTGCATGATCTTTTGGAAACAAAAATATGATCTCGTTACCATCACCTGTCATAGCCATTATTAAAGGGTAAGCTGCTTAATGTGTCATACCAGCACCATCATAATGTGGCCGCTGGCTATAGCGCCGGCCTTATTTTTCAGCAGTATTCCCTCAAACTCTTAAGTTCTTGCCATATGAACTACTGCATTCCCTGAATAAGCCTATTCTCTCTCACGTTAGGGAATGTGCAGGTGCTTTCCCAGCGCCTGGGACACAGGTCATACTCCCCACTGTCCACCCATGTGGCTCTGCCCGGCTCTCTGCTACTCACCACCCAGGTCTGCTTGAGAGAACTTCCTTCACAAAGCCTCTTAGTCCAGAGTGCCCTGTGCCTGCCTCTCTTCTCTTCTGACTGTGTCTTTGCCTCCTGGGAGCCCGGCCCAGCAACCCCTTTGAGCCAAGAAGTGCTTGCCTGGCATGCCAGTGGAAGGAAATTGACTCGCCCAAGGCCTTCACTGGCCAGACCAGAGCCGAGCAGACCGAGCTGGCAGGTATGCTTTGCCCCCAGTACCCGTCTTACTAAGAGACATTGCTGGTTGATTGATTTACTGCAACCAGGCAGGTCTGAGGGCTCTCCCATCCCACCACACTCACCATTTTGGGCCTAATTGTTTGAGCTCTCCCAGATCGCATTTGACTGGCTTTGTCCATGCAAACTGTCTGCTGGATTGAGATTGTATTTATTTTGTATGATTTTATCACATTCAGCCACGTGTGCAGTATAAAAATGACAAAAGCTTTGACGCTCACAGGGTTGGTGAGAATTTTCTCTTCTCTGATCTTAGAATCATTTCTTCCTGGACAGCAGGGGATGGCGTGGCCGTTGGCCCTGCTTTAGGAAGATGAAAGCAGGAGGGCGGGACAAGCTCCAGAATGACAGTGCAACCTTATTGAGGTCAAGTGACCTTCTGCAGAGTGTCTGCGTTTTCCCGAGGAGCCCAGCACTAAGTTCTGGTTAATTTTTATAACTTTCTTAATAGGACACATTAGCACCATTATAAACCTTGTTAATTAAGCAATAATCTCAAATGCTCCCTCGCAGAGGGAGATGTTCCTGGCAACAGCAGATGATTAATATCTGGAGCCTCACGAAAGCCTTTCATCACCCGAGGGGCCATTCAGCGCTCTCACCCCCGGGACACGATGATTGGAATTCTGCGGTCTGCACCTCCTTTTCCTGCATCTTCTCCAGCTCATACTGGGGGCTCCGAGGGCCCTCACACCTGCTCTCCTTCCTCTGCTCCTCTCTCCTCTGCCTCTTCACCACCTTCTGACCTTCTGGAGGAATGGTCTGACATGCTGCTCTCCTAGGTAGTGACATAGACCAGAGAGGTTCCCACTAGAGGCTGCACAGCAGCTAGGCTGAGAGGCAAACACCTGAACTTCAGAACCATGCTCAGCACAGGTGTCTCCCTCATTTGCTTCAGGTGCGAGCACAGTCACTACTTTCCTCTTGCCCAGGCCTGGAGAGGGGATGCCCAAGTGTTCCGTTCTGCAGGAAGATGGTGTGGTTGCAGTTTCATTACTGTGATCAGTGCTTTGACAGAGAAAGGCCCAGGTGAGGGTGGGAGCATAGAGTTTGCAGACAGAGTGGAGTCCCCTAACTCCACTGATAGGTTCCAAGAAGGCTGAATGGGGAAGAATGAGTAGGGTTTAGGCACGTAAAGGCCAGGGTCAGGGTAATCTTGGAAGAGAAGAATGAAGACACTGATTTGTGGGACAGCCTGGAGTGAAGAGGCAATTCAGGTGGATAATGGCAGAGGTAGGACGGGGGACAGACAGGGCCCCTACCTTCTTGTCTCAGTCCTGATGGAAAGGCCGAGCCAAGAGGTAGTGGATATTAGTCGGGCGTGGGAGTGGTCAGGAGGTAGTGGCGGTCCATTCAAAGTAATTAAAGTCTGCTCTGTGCAGAACCCTTCTCGGTGGGATGGGAGGGTGCCCCAGAGAGATAACGCCTGCAGCACGTGCACCTGCAGCAGGATGACGCCAGGAGGCAGGCTGGCCTCATGCCTGGAAGGGCTGGGGGTGGGGAGGGGGCAGCAGTGGATTCTGCCCATCCCTCCTGCCTTCCTCCAGGCCTCAGGCCCCTCTCCTGTACGTGCAGGGTTAGCACCGGGCAGCCTCTGTGATCCCCCCCCAGCCTTGACGTTCTGCTTCTCTAAGGATAACCTGCTGTGGGCTGGCCTGGCACACAAATCTTATGTACCCTCCATAGCCATTCCTTAGGATTGGGTGGTCATTCCTGGCCTATAGGTGAGGTAGCTTAAGCTCCAGGAAGTTAAAAGTCTATCCTATGATGACATACCTAGTGGCACATTCCCCAGCCCTCTTATGTCCAGAATTTTTATGTCCCCTCCAGTTTTGCTGGAGAAACATTCATTCATTAATTTAACAGATACGTACTTAATCTTGCCTTGTGCCAAGCACTATGCTAGGTGCTGGGAATGAACAGACATATATACGTAAAATAATTGTAACAACCCATACGGTGCAGTGTTCCTTACAGTTTGAAGAAGGTTTGCAAAAAGTTTATCTCAGATGCCTCCAGGCAGCCTTAAAAAAAGACACGTGGTGTGTTGTCCTGGTTTGGGAGAGGAGGATCTGGCTAATGACTGGCACCAGGTCCCCAAGCCTTCCTTCATCTCAGCAGATGGCAGACTCAGTGAAGTGTCTGTGCTCAGCCTCGTGTCAGTCACACAGTGAGACGCCACCTCACACCCGCCACGTTATCAAAACCTTAGCAACTGACCACGTCCAGTGGAAAGCATGGGGACAACCAGTCCCGCACACACTGCTGGGAGTGTCCATCAGCAGAACCGCTTTGGGACACAGCTGGCTGGGCATCGCCTAGTGAAGCTGAGTGTGCGCAGACCCTGACACAGCAGCCCCTCTCCCGGGCCATCCTGGGGAACCTCCAGCACAGGTGCCCCGAAACAGTGCCAGGGGGTTCGCAGTCGCAAAACCCTGGAAGCCACCCAGGTACCCACTGGCCGTGAACTGCAGCGCAGGCTGTGGAATAGTCACACAGTAGGGCACCACTCTCCAAGGGAAACGGATGACCTGCAGCTTACATTTGAAATGGGTCCATTTCAAATCTTTAATATTGAGGGGGGGAAAGGAAGTCAGATTCTAGAGAGTATGGGCACACTTAAAATAAGTAAAACAAAACAAAAAACTGGGGAAAGTAAACAATACTTTCTTTAAGGATGTATGCGTGTGTGTTAACATTAAAAGGAAAAGAAAAGCAGGAGATTGGTTACCTCTAGTGAGGACGGGAGAGGGCCTGAGGGGGAGGGGCACTGGGGGCTTCAGAGGGAAGCTGGGGAGAAGGCACATGGGTGTTTTATCATTATTTTTAAAGGGTACATTTCCTGCATATGGGTTTTGTATGAAAATTTGAAAATATCGCTGTGCCAGGTAAGTGAGTTGGTATTTGGGAAATGTCAGGAATCACATCCCCCTCCCCGCTCCGAAGATTTGCCTGGAGTTCACCATTAATCCTCGGCCTTCCTGTTTCTTTCCCCTGTCCAGAGTGTTTATACGACAGAATAGCACAAGAGACTGTGGACGAAACGGAAATTGCACAGAGACTCTCCAAAGTCAACAAGTACATCTGTGAGAAGATCATGGATATCAATAAATCCTGTAAAAATGAAGAGCGAAGGGAAGCAAAATACAATTTGCAATAAACTTTGGATTTTTCATAAAGCCTTCTCGTTTTCCTTGTGCGGCATGTGATTTGCGGGCCACAGCGCCGTCCGGATCAGACCCATCGCGCCCGGTGGCGCGTGGCAGGGAGCCAGTGGGGTTCCGGGGTCGCGGCTTGTGCTGAACTTGGACCTCCCACTTCAAAGCAGGCGGATGGATGTGCTGAGCCTCGGGCATGCCGGCACCGGAGTTGTTCCGGGGATGGGAAAGCGTCTTTCCGGCGGGGGATGGAGTGTCTCTGACCTGCCTGTCACCTGACCCAGAATGCAAACTGATATTTTTACCATTCAAGGACTTTTATCTCTGTTTCTCTATTTTGTTCTATAATAAAGCTCATTAATTCTTTGATGTAGATCCTCATTATCCTCATTTATTTAAGGGTATTAAGTGTACAGTAGAGGCGACCAGTGTTTGAGGGCGGAACATTCAGGCCGGAGGAGGGAGAATTCATAAGGGATGTGCTGCCGACTACAGCTGCGAAGGGCTGTCTCAAAAGCAGATTGCTTTCTCCCGCTTCAAAGGACAGAGCCAGGACCGGTCGCCTTTCTCACTCAAGGTGACCAGAGATGCGGCTTCTGGATAATTTGAGTGGACTCGGGGTGGTGATGTTAGATGTGGTCCAGGGTTGCCGTCGGGAAGTCGGGGGCAGGTCACCTGCTCTCAGTTTGTTTCTCTTGTGTCTCAAGTGGTCTTTCATGTTACATAGTTTTTATCTCATTCAGTAGCTGAGTCTCCAAGGTGCCTGGTGTGCAATCTGACAAACCACCTTTGATCTCCCTGCTGATTGCACTTTCCTCTCTGTGATGCCTGTGAAGTCAGCTTGGTACATTGGCAGCGGCAAGGGTTTGGGCTGAGCACCTGGGCTCCAAACCTCGCCCCCCAGCCCCGTGCTCTGGTTTTAACCTCACCTCTTCTCTTTCATAAGGAGTGATATCTACCTTGCAGGGTTGCCATAAGGAATATATATGGCCAATAAATGTTGGCGATCATTATTTTTTTTAAAATTTCTGGTTATTGGCTTTTAGGCATTGGTTGGAAAATGTTGGCTCTCATTTCTCTAATGGGTTACCCACTAGACCAGTGGTCGGCAAACTGCGGCTTTTGTGGAAGAGCCACACTCAAGGGGCCGCAGTTTGCCGACCACTGCACTAGACCATTAAACCATTGGTGGTCTGTAAGCAAAAGCTCAGGTTCCTTTATTTAAGGATATTCAGTGTAAGTGGAGGTGACCAGTGTCCTTTGAGGGCATAAGAAGGGAGGTGGCTGCCTCTGAGGAATTTTATTCTAATAAATAAAATAATCCTTTATAATGTGAAATACTGTACACTCGCTAATAGGATATAGATGTGAATTTCCTTTATTGGTATTTTCCTAGCTCTCCCCAAACTAGCAATGTGATCTCGGACCCATCACTTAACTTCTCAGAGTCCTTATCAGTGCAATGAGGAAAACAATGCCTTTGGCACAGGCTGTGTGGATAATTAATAGTAATAATGGCAGCGACTATGGATATTAACTATGTGCCAGAACTTTCCTAAATGTTTGCCGTAGGTTCCTCATTGCATGAGGTCAGTAAGGTTAAGGGCAGTCGTGTTCAATAAATTCTTGCTATTAGATGTGCTCATTTTAATGGCATGGAGTGGCTTGGGCATGTGTAGTACGGAATGCATGAGGGACTGGAAAAGGATTCGTCGTAATGGAGCTCATCCCTTCTCCCCCACTTCCCGCCCCCCCCCACCCCAAAGCAGGGCAAAGGCACAAACACCAGACAGCTGTGCACTTCTCTGCAGAGACTACTACAGTGGATACCTCTTCATAGGTGCTTATAGATGGGTGGGGGAAATAGCCTGGGAATCTATGTTTAAAAACTGCTACGACATAAGTGACAG